ATTATCCACATGGGATAATTCTTTATTTAGCAAACACACATCATAACTGGCATTGTATACAAATTTTAGTATAGCTATTATCCTTATGACTAAGATAATTTACTTGAAAAATTATGGACACAAACATGTCAGTTTCTCTCTACATGTGACATTAGTCTATTAAAGAGTACTCAACACTAAATCAGCTGTATTTATACGTCAGATGCATTTTACCTACTGAAATAAAAACTATTCCTGTAGCATCTATACTGTGTACCTTATTAATGTCATATTTTTATAAGCAGTATCATATAACTACATTTACAATAGCATTGTAGCACTGTCGTTCTGTTATTCATCGATTTACTCGAGTGGGCACCAGTAACATCTCCATTGGGAGACTTCTTGTTACTGTTTTTGGCATTTCGAATATGCCACAGGTAGCTTGCCAAGCTCTGTCATGCAGGCGGGATACTCTCAGTAGCTTGCTGGGCTCTCCAAGAGGCACAGAGGAATCAACCCAGGTCAGCCGCATGCATGGAAAATGCCCTACCCGCTGTTATCACTCCAGCCTACGTTTAAGATACTATTTAAAATCAATGTGCATTCCCACAGATCAATAGCAGAAAACTAGTTAAAATTATTTTAATATGGATTTCATTACATTGAATATTTAAAAGGGATATACCCACATTTAATCAACCAAAAATATAAAGATTGTGAGGAAAACATCTATAGGCTGTTTTTCTGATACTAGAGAATGAAAGAAAAGCAGGGGTTAAAAGTTAGCCTTTTACTACCCACACATCGCTAGATTCTGAGAGGCAGCTCCTTTAATATTTTTTTCTTACTGCAGTATTTGTTGCTTAAGGAAGTCTGTGGGTGGATAAGATGTTATTATTCCTCCTACACACACCCGTTTTCTTATTTACGACATTAAATCTCCATGTATCTCTGTACTTTAAACACCAGCCCCTTTATTTCAATGACTTTCGAAAACTCTTTGGAATTTGTTCCACACATTACCTTCCCGGAAGGCACATATAGTTGATTATATTTTAAGCTAAATTTTTTTTCAAGTGTCAATCTATCCAAAAACTCTTTTGATGTTGATGATTTTTTCAACTAAACATTGTTGGATAAAAACCAAATTTTATTAAAGAGCAGGTCTTATGTTCAAAATTAATAATGAAAGTTAGTTTTTTATGTTATGGCGTTTTAGGAAATACTAACTCATCCTATGAACAATAACAGGTTTAACTTGGTTTCAACTAGTTTGATTTTATTTAAAAAAAAACAGTAAATAATGGGGTGAAAATTTGGTTAAAATAAGAAATTATAATTGTGTCCACTAGTAATACAGTATTCTGGAAGATGGCCAATTATGAGTTAAATATACAATAGTGAGAACATATTCTAAAGAGATTAATGAAAACAATCACTAGTTAGAATTGTTGGCAAACAATCATAGGCAATCAAACCAATCACTTTCAATTAAGTGAAAGGAAACTAATTTTGGCTGTTTGCAAATTCATTGCTATTAGGAACTCTGTGAAAGAATAGACAAGTTTATCCTCTATATAGCATAGGAAGATCAGATATATTTTCTTTATAACATAGTGAGTACTTCAGTAGGATTTGTTTCAGTCTAAGCCAGATTTCTATGTTATAGTTATTAAGGCTTTTGGGCATTTTGTAATATAAGAAAGAAAGAAAGAAAGAAAGAAAGAAAGAAAGAAAGAAAGAAAGAAAGAAAGAGGGAGGGAATGAGTGAACAACAATCAGGAAAGAGAGAGAGAGAGAGCAAGCGGTAGGTAGGTAGGGAGGAGCAAGAGAAGGAGAGAGAGAGAGAGATCAAGGCATACACGGGGAGCATAGAGTGGTGGTAGAGAGAGCACTGTGAAGAGAGAGGGAGAAAGAAAAAGAAATAAAAAGAAAGAAAGAGAGGAGAGAAAGAGAGAAATAGAGAGGAAAGAGAGAGAAAGAGAGAGGAAAGAGAGGAAGGAAGGAAGGAAGGAAGGAAGGAAGGAAGGAAGGAAGGAAGGAAGGAAGGAAGGAAGGAAGGAAGGAAGGAAGGACTTTGTGTTTTAAAGTAATAGACCAGGAAAAAAGTTACCCAGTTAAAACAAAATATCAGTCCCTTGTTTTAAAAATGAAGAATTTACTAAGTTAGTAGACAATCATTATCACAACTTTGAGAATAACTTTTCAAAGGACTACCACTCAGAATTAAATTGGATAATATGCTCTTTTCAAGGCAATTATCTCTAAGAAGTTGTTATTTCCTCAAGTTACTGTAAAGCATCTATACATAAAATAAAACATAAAAGGAAAATTAAGTAATAAAATAAAAAGGTGGTTTCCAGCAAAGGTGGCTATAAATGCCATATTTACCAATTAAAATTATTCCTTTTTTATCTTAATATTATTATAACATAACAATGAATAAAAGATTTTAAAGAAATGGGCGTGGGGAAGGGAAAGATGACTTAATTTTTCATTAACATAAAAATATAAATAGTGGGAAATGAAGTCAGTGTCCAAAACATAAACCATATATTATTATTAACAATTTTAAAGACATTTATATCACCATGTTTTACAAAAAGAACAAAGGTGATATACTGTCTTCCAGTTTGTTTTGTTTTTAAAGATGCTAAAAATTAATATCACAGAAAAATTTAGGTAGACTGCATGTGAAATAGTGTGAAATATAGAGATTTCTTTGTAAAAACTACTTTCTGCTAAAACCAATATTTCAAAAGTTTTAAATTTATTATATTACAATGGTAAAATTCTTACTCAAAAAACTTTGTTCTTTTTTAAAAATAATATTAAGGCATAGTTTGTTCTATGCTCTAGACAGAGAGCAGTAAAAAACAAATCACTGTATCACTGTCATCCCGTTGTTCATCGATTTGCTCGAGCAGGTGCCAGTAACGTCTCCATTTGTCACAGCCCTGAGATTTTAGCAAACTCCCCTTACTCATCCTTCCCAACGGTGCCATATTGGAGGCTCTTTCAGGGTTAGGGGAATGAGACCCATTATTGTTACTGTTTTTGGCATATTGAATATGCCACAGGGAGCTTGCCAGGCTCTGCCAGGCTCTGATCAATAGCTCTTTCTTGATTCCATGGGTGGTAGTACATGGCCGTTCTTAGTTGGTGGAGCAATTTGTCTGGTTAATTCCAATAACAAACGAGACTCTGGCATGCTAACTAGTTATGTGACCCCCAAGCGGATGGCATCTCCCAACTTCTTAGAGAGACAAGTCGTGTACAGCCACCCGAGATTGTGCAATAACAGATCTGTGATGCCCTTAGATGTCCAGGGCTGCAGGTGCACTACACTGATTGGCTCAGCATGTGCCTACCCTACACCGGGAGGCGTGGGTACCCGTTGAACCTCATTTGTGATGGGTATCGGGAACTGCAATTAGTACCCATGAACGAGGAATTCCCAGTAAACACAGGTCATAAGCTTGCATTGATTAAAAAACAAATACAATTCAATATCATACAGAGACTGAAAGACAGTCCTGATGATCCCAGTGACCATCAGGAGGCATTGGAAAATGTCTCAAACTCTCTTTTTCTCCCCTCACTCTCTTTTAATCCTAAAGGGGAAAATATGTTCAAATATAGTATCCTAACTGTGTTCTCTAGATACTGCTCATCTGAACTAATCAAGCTCTTCATCATATAAAGCTTTTGGATAAATCTTAACAGTAATGCCTGAAATTGATAATTTATATAGTAGTTATTCCTAAATCCAATTAACTCCATTCTTTTCTGTTATTTAAAAAAATAAAAGTTTGCATTTTAAAGCAAAAATTTACTTGGGATCATAAATTATCATTTTTTCTTAATTTTTTTTTGGGGGGGCACACTCAGAGGTGCTCAGGGCTTACTCCTGGTTCTGTGCTCATCAATCACACTTAGTGGTGACTGGGGGAACTTATGAGGTGCTGTTAAACAGTAGTATCCTCCCTGCTGTAGTATTGCTCCAGTTCCTACAATAATCTATTCTTTTGGGGCCCTAAAGAAGGCATTTTCTGTGGATTTCACATGAGAAAGCATATGGGGAAATTTACAGTGAAGGTTTAATAATTTGGGATAGCAACTACATAGGATCTATTTTAAGGTTCTGCCTTGCTCTTATAGAGTTCCATAACAAGCACAAATAATGAAATTCCACCACATGTTAGTAAAAACAAAAAGATAAATGTCAAAACATTCATATTATTTGATACTTTCATATCAGAATGTTTTAGCTTTCATTTTTAGTTTTCTATAAATGTAGTTCTATAAAAAACAAGCTATGAATTATTACCTGGAAACTGAGGTTAGTATTAGTTATTTTTAATGTCCAATGTCAAAGGTTGGAACAATAGGACAGTGGGTAGGGCATATGCCTTATACTTGGCCGACCTGGGTTTGATCTCTGGTACCCTATACGGTCTCCTGAAACCCACCAAGATTGATCTCTGAGCACAAAGACAGGAGTAATCACAAGATTGATCTCTGAGCACAAAGACAGGAGTAATCACAGAGTATGGCCCACAAACAAACAAACAAACAAACAAAAACCAAACCAACAGCAAAACACAAATAAAATCCAAAGTCTAAAAAATGACTTTCCGGTGAGCTTTTTCTTTCCTGCTACAGATGCTTGGAAGCCCCTGTTATGAAGTTTTGGTGTGCGGGAGATCAAACCTAAAGCCTCACATTAGCAAAGCTTGTGCTCTGACACTGAACCATGTCTCTGACTTGACCTTAAAGGCTCTTTCATAGACACTAACAAATATATAAAGGATGTTCAATAAAAACAGAATTCTTAAGTACGAGTCACAAATATATCAGCTAATTTCATGCAATACACACAATTGCATAATAACAACAATGACATTATCTGTTTTCCCTTTCCTTAGCAAAATATCATTTGCTCATGTAGTTAGAATGGTAAATATCCATAAATAATATTCTTGCAGGCTTTCAGTATATATGAAGAAAACTCCTACCTCCATCTCCAGATCCTGATCCTGCATCTGGTGGAGAAGAAAAAAATAATTTAGTTTGCTTTAGAAGTAGCAAAAGTATTAATGCGTTTTTTGAGTCTACGTTTAGTAGTCTCTTTACTTAATACACTGATATAATTAAGAAAATTATTACTTGAACCAAGAACATATGTCATATAACTTAATTTCTAGAACATAACATAAATTATAATTTTAAACTTTATGAAAATTGGAGTTTACAGCAGAGGTATTTCTTTCATCTAAAAATTTGCTCATACTTTTACTTTTATTGGGATAATTTTAATGATATTAACAAAAATAAATGAAAATCGCATACCATCAACACTTAAAACAGATATGTGACAAAGAATCTCTGATTTAGCTTATATTCTTATAAGGTATATAGGAACAAGTAAAACAAAGACCAAAATTAAAGTGTCTTTATATAATTTTTTTAAGTACTACAATTATGGCTGAATTTCTCTACAACTGAATGTAATACATTTTGAGATTAGTAGAAATATGAGGCTGATATGAGATCAGCAAAAAAAACAGGTTGACATTTTGAAACTTTTTTATTGATTAAGGTAATGTGATTTATAATACTGTTAATAATTCCCATGTCTACAGTCAAATAAAAACCCATCACCAGTGTATCCCCCACACCTCCTACAAGGTTCCCACTGACTCACCTAACCATCCCTCCCTTACTAATTCAATTTTGTGAATCAGTTATTTCACTTTATTGCCTTTGGCCCTTTATTGGTGTACATATTTAAGTTCCCACATATGGAAGCGATCATTTTGTGTATATCCTGATCCTTATGACTACTTCACTCAGCATATCCTCTAGTTCCATCCATGTGGTGGAAAATTGGATGACTTTGTTTTTTCTTAGAGCTGCATAGTATTCCACTGTTTGTATGTGTAACTTCTTGATCCATTCATACATAGTTACACATTTGAGTTGTTTCAATATTCTGGCTATTATACTAAATGCTGCAATGAAAATAAGTGTGTATATATCCTTCTGAATTAATGTGTTTGTGTTTTGGGAATAGATGCCCAAAAAGTTATCACTGGGTCATATGGGATTTCTATTCTTAAGTGAGATCTCTATATTGTTCTTCATAAAAGTTGAACTAGACAGCATTCTGAATGAAAGTTCCTTTCTTACCACAGAGGTTGACTTTTTAACACTGTGATTGAATTGTATGTACCCTAAGTGAGATCACTAGGAAAGCAACAGCTCTTCTGAATTTCTGTTTGTTTTTTTTTAACTCCTTCCTCTCCCCCTTTTAGATCCCTCCCAATAATTTCAGTTGGTTAACACTGACTATTTTTGAATACTTAGTTCCACCAAAACCCAGTTTTTTAGCTGGTGTCAAGAGCACTGAATTTCCGCTTGCTCCCACCTCAGTGCATATTGGTCATCTTCCTTTTGTCTCCTTACTTTTTAAATTCTAAATACACTTGACAACATCTTTTTAATGTTAATAATAGAAAAAATATAATAATAGTTTCTGTCTAATATTTCACATTGAAATATCAAGCTGGGTTCAAGACCTACAACAAATGCCACATTTATAGATTTGTTTGATGCCTTAGGCAGTTAAATGAAACATCATTTCTACTTGTTTGCCTACATGACATTTTATTGGGAAGCATCACATCAAGGCATGGCAGAAAAAAAACCACAGAAGGCTGACAATATGGAAGAATGAATGTTGCCTTGTCATCATGGTTGGCATTAGAACTACCATAAAAAAGCAGTAAGCTTCATTGTCAGCTTTGCTGGAGACATATTAACTAAATTTATATATATATATATAAAATCAGAATGTCAAATCACTAATTGATCACCTGGCTAAAACACATTATAGGGACAGTATAACTTTTCTCAGAGGTAAGATAATTACCAGAGCCACTAGTAATAAATCCCCCTAAAAACATATTATAATCAAATATGATTTTAATCATATGATTTGACTAATATAAAACAAAGACAGATGAATGCGTTTTTCTATAATTAAATATTCCTTGAACTCATAATTCACAGGATCATTTCTCTCTGGTCAGGACAAATATTTGAACAGTCAGTATTTGTCACAACTTCTTTGTGTATACTTTCACAGCTAATATTTCTACTGACTTTATTTTAATTAATTCCAAACCTTAATTCAGTATTACTTACAATTTTTAAGTAAAAAGTAAGTAACACTGAATTGAGAGTCTAAAAAATTTCAGAGTTTAAAAAATAGATTGTACTATTATACCATTAATACATTTAACCTGCATTTTAGTTCATTGTATACATAAAACTTTCCTTTCCAATCTCACAATGCATACATTTATTTGAATCTATATCAATATCATATATTTATTAGTTTCATAGATTATTTATCTGTCTATTCTTATTTCTAATAAATGAAAATATATACAAAATTAAGGATTCCAAACATCAATCATTACTCATTAAATGATATGAAGATTGCTATGCAAACTTCCAAAACTTATTCATCATCTATTCAATTGAGATAGCAATCCTATTAAATTGGGTTATATTTATGATTTGTTATACAATAGTATATGTAGAATGCTTACCATTGTGTCTAGGGCATAATTCAAATTCTCATAAATATCTTGTCTATTATTCTATGTGTGGGCTGGAGCGATAGCACAGCGGGTAGGGCGTTTGCCTTACAAGCGGCCAACATGGCCGACCCGAGTTCGATTCCTCCGCCCCTCTCGGAGAGCCCGGCAAGCTACAGAGAGTATTTGATATGCCAAACACAGTAACAACAAAGTCTCCAATGGAGACGTTACTGGGCCCGCTCGAGCAAATCGATGATCAACGGGAGGGCCTTTACCTTTACCTTTACCTTATTCTATGTGTCTAATAAATATGTGTCATAGAAATATTTCTTAATAGAGGTGGTAATTTGGCTTACAATTCACTTGTTATTGAAAAACATATAGCCTCATCCTTGAGACAATTTTACATATTCAAGTAGCTAGGGAAGAAACAAGGAAAAATTGATAAAAAGTTACTTAATCCATAATATCATTGTGAAATTGTGATGAAGATATTTAATTGTTTCTCTCTGCATATAAATAAGTTTAGCAAACCAGAGGTAAGCAGTCTACGAAAAGCTTTATTAGTGAGATAGAAACACCCAAGAAACCATGCTGTTGGATCACATCTGTGCTTGCAGTCAATATACTTCTTTTTGACATTGAGGCTATTGAGTGTAATGACCAATAGGCAACTACTTTCTGAATAAAAAAATTATAAGTTCAATGAAATAGGTGAAATAAAAGTTATATTCATAGGTATTTTGCTGCCTTTTATGTCTATATATCATAACTAGTTGCCTCTATTCAGTGTCAAACAGCATTAAAGATTAATAAAAAATCTATGAAGAAAAGATGAAAACTATTAGATCGAAAGTCAGAACTCCAATTTATTTACAGTCAGATCTGATTAATCAAAATGACTATTCTCTTCCATCATTACTCGGATCAGAAACCTTTTTAGATTTTCAACGAAAGATGCATTCCACAAAATGTGCTTACTAATTAAATCCTGCAGAAGTCTAAGTATATGGATGATCTGGGGATGGATAACTCAATTGTGATTAAATTTTATACTTGATTAAGTATTTATTTTCATAGTGCAATCAGCACATACGGGACTGAAACGGAAAGACTTGAACAAATAAGGTAATGTTGACTACATAAGCTGACTAGAACTTGGTAATTGACACGAAAGTAAGAATTTTCTACCGAATAGTGGTAGCCATACACATTAATATATGACTATTTAGTGTGACTATTACTCACTGTTCTTCCTTTAGCCATTATAAGAGACAGATACCCAATATTATCTTAAATAAGTAAACCTTTCCAAAAAACTTCCGAGTTTGCTTACAACGTTCCTGATTTCTAGGAGTCAAAGACTCTTTCTTTAAACAACAACAACAACAACAACAACAAAAAAAAAAAACCCAAACTTCCCTCATTCTATTTATGCTGGACTATCACTTAGAATTTTGTCTCTTCTGTACAGTAGATTGAATTTTCAAAACTAGTCGTTTCTTGTAATTCTGTTTGTCTCATTCTTGCTATGAGCAGTATGTTGGTCCTCCTTCCCTCCCGGCAAAGCCGGTCCAATGACTCTCACATGGTGCTGTCACTTTTATTCATTACTTCTCACAGATATAGCAGCAATGATTTGCTTGCACTAGCAAACAAGAAGCAAGTGGGATACCAGTTCAGCTTTCTTCCCAACCACCCCTCCAAAAAGGATATTCACATCACGAGGTGAAAATGATGTAGGAGAAAATACATCTTCAAAACCAAAGCCAAAACCAAAACAAGTGTCTACATGATTGTCCATGAGGAATAATAAATATGCTACCTATTCTTAGAAAATTTGGTGATCACCAAAAATAACTTAGAATATCATTAATTACTAGAATATGTTGGCTTATGATAAGCATTTGAACGAATAAAAGACTTTCTACTTGCCCATTTGTCACTCAGCCTCAGCCATTAAAGATTTATCTTTCAGAAATACCTGTTAACTAAGAGTCTTTTGAATAAAATAGCCTTTTCCTAACATGGTTCTAGGTTTCCATACTTAAAGCAAATTCATATTTTATTTGATCGTTATTTTTCCTCAATATACTTAGGTGATACAATTCTCCAGAAATTAAGGTTTTCCAAAAGAGCCTCATTTGTCAATAAGAACATAAACTATTTGTGACATTAAAGTTTCTTTAATACACAGTCTTTGAATGAAACTCAGCTTAATTTTGCTGTGCTGTTTTATCAAGTTGGGCTGTATTTCTTTAGTTCTTTTTTTTTTTTCCTGTCTATAATACTGTTCAGCTCTAAAAACCACTGTGGAAAAAAAAACTCGAAAATCTAAAGCGCATTTGAAGCCACTATTTTTCTCACTTTCTTGGTACCTTTCTTAGCACAATATAACTAAAAAGCTTTGTAGAATCTCAGGCTTATTGTGTCAAAGAGGACTGACATCATTAGAATTAATGTCCATCACGAATATAGTCTTCAATATTATCTGCTAAATGGTCTGAAGAGCATTTCGTAGAGCTGCTAAAACTATCCACATCTTAAATTCTTAATCCAAATTCACAAAGCTTTCCTGTAGCAGACAATGCTATTATTCAAAGCAAACATCAAACTTTATTCACGCATAGGTAAGTTTCTGTATATTTGTCCCCGGGGCAGCCAGATTTCGAATTAAAGCCTACAAGTGATTAAATTTATTAACTAATATGCATCAAGATTTACCAATATCCTTATAATATTTTCCCTTTATTTCAGAAGTGATTTGGAATATAAACAGAGACTAAGAAGAGTGCATGCTTTGTAAAAATGAGTAAGAGCCTTGTCTAGTCAATGTAGTGTTTCAATTATTTATCTGCAGAATACAGGAAAAGAGCGATGTGGTTTTGGAATTCTGAATCTGTTCAGAATGCTTTAAGGAGGGGAGAGTTCAGGTCAGCCTACATACCTGTGGCACATGATCCTTCAGACATCACAAGTATCTCACTCTGTTGTTTGCACGCAGCCTGCCGTAGGTAACACTCATTCTGGTAGCTCTCTCCATTGGAGCCACATACAGGCACGTAGTCACTGTTGCACTAGAGAACACATGAACAAAAGCCTAAGGTTAGGACTGCAGTTGGCAAATCTCTCACATCTTGAGTAGGAATAATCATTTACAAATTAAAGCACTTGTCTGTGTGTTTCCTTATTCTCACTGTATTTGTTATGACTCTGACCTTGTAAGGGCATTTTTTTCAAAGATCCGCAAAAGCAGTCAAGTCAGAAAACCTGTATTGGAGTCAAGTGTAAGCAGGAGAGAGATGCATAGAAATTGATTATCCCATGGGGATATGTTACAGTGTTCATATCCTGTATTTAAAAATAAGTAATGAACTTCTTCTATGCTTGCAACATAAATGTATAACTGAAATGCTGGAAAACTCTGGTTTTCCTTTTCCTTTTTCTTTTCTTTCTTCCTTTTTTTATTTGGGGGGTTGGGTCCCACCAGGTTATGCTCAAGGCATAGTCCCTGTTCTGCACTCAGGGATTATTTCTGGCTGGCTCAGGGGACCAAATGGGGTGCCCCGAAACGGATCCCGTTGGCTGTGTGCAAGGCAAGTGCTTTACAAACTATACTATCTCTCAGGTCCCAAGAACTGTGGATTTTCATGATAAATTCTACTCTTTATAAATGTCTATAATTATTTTAATAAAACATTTTTATTAATAATTAACATAAATCTATCCTTAAATTTTGGATATTGACATAGAGTGTAGAGAGGAACAACAAATTGTAAAATAATGTGGAAAAATAATAACCATTGAACTATGTAAATTTGATTACTCAATAGAATGACTATCAATATGTAGTATTATAAAAAGAAAATTTTACTTTTTAAAAAATCTTATTGGGACTGAGTGATAGCACTGCGGATAGGGTGTTGCCTTGCAACCGGCCGACCTGGATTCAATTCCCAGCATCTCATATGGTCCCCTGAGTACCTACAGGAGTAATTCCTGAGTGCTGAGCATCGCTGGGTGTGACCACAAAAGCAAAAATAAATAAATAAATAAATAAATAAAAATAAAACCTTATTTAAAAAATTCACATTTTATAATGGAAATCAGACAACCTACAGGGTAGAGGTTCAGAATACAATAAACAGTATGCATTAGAAATAACTTAGCTATGTCCTTCACCTGCTAATTATGCCAGAGATGAGATTATTTTATGATTGCTACTATAAAGCACTTAATGTTTAATTTTAACAAATTGTAGTAATTAAATTCATTACTTAGAAATACATACCAATGTCAATAAAATTTTAAATTTATATAAACATGTAGCACTGAAGCACTGTAGCACTGTCCTCCCATTGTTCATCAATTTGCTCGAGCGGGCCCAGTGATGTCTCCATTGTGAGACTTGTTGTTACTGTGTTTGGCATATTGAATACGTCATGGGTAGCTTGCCAGGCTTTGCTGTGCGGGGCGAGATACTCTCGGTAGCTTGCTGGGCTCTCCGAGAGGGGCAGAGGAATCAAACATTGCTCAGCCAGGCCAGCTGCGTGCAAGGCAAATGCCCTACCACTGTGCTATCGCTCATAACTTTTCAAATTTTCTACTTCCTGTTACAGTGTTTAAATTTGTAATTATTATAAATTTGTAACACAAATCAAAAATTATCCAATGTATAACAGAATTTTATATATATATATATTATAATAGTGTTCTATTATTAGTTAATTTCAGTGATTTACAAAGAAAGAACAACTTTAGCCAGATTGATAAAAACTTGACATGTGATTTTACTTTATTTCCCTAAAATAGTTGTATTTTCTTTTCCCAATTAATCATATAACTTTGCTCTCTGACTTTACATAGTAGTTTAATTATCCTAACAATAAAAATGGCATAAACTAAAGCCATTTTAAATGAAAGCTTTATTACATGTTTTACTTAGTATCTATAATTGAAAAACTAAAATATATAATTTTACTAAAAGTGAAATCTACTTATGAATTATTTTAATATTTAAATATTAAAATTTTTTAAATGGGACAATTTAGATATTACAATTTTTATACTTTTAATATATGTGTAGATTTATATCGGGAAATTTTTCTACCATCGGACTTGAACATAGTCACGAAGGAAAACTACGTAGCAAAAATCAGTAAAGAGTTGAATTTTCCAATGAGCAGTATTAAAGAAGGATTAAGTAAGTAAATGGGACTGGGGCTGGTAACAGAAACATGACCTGATACTTAGATGGGTAGATGGTCTTTGTTAAATGTATTTTCTTCAGGAACAGGACAGGAGAACGCAGGGAGGATTTAAAAGGAACTAAAATAGTGTGATATCCAACCACACTGAAGATAGACCATAAAGAAATAAACAGAGAGCACTATGTGATAGTCAGTACACTGGAGGATCCTTTCAGTACGCAGAAGAGAGCCATAATTAGTGTAAATAACTACAGTAGATTATTTCTCATGTGTGGACCCTCATATTCTTGTCCCTATTTCCTTTTAATCTCTCTCTAAATCTTTGTTATAGAATATGTGTGTCCCCATTTTATTCTCTTTAATCTCCACCCGCCCCGCAATTTTCTCTATTTATCCTTCTCATCTACTTTTACAGATTACTCAGATGCAGTCAATAAATGGGTGTCGGGAGTATTTATTATCTCTGTCAAGTGCTAGTACACAATGCTGATGTGCATCTTAAAATATCAAATAAACTGATAAAGTTCTCATATGCCACATCTCAGGGATTCAGTAAGCCAAATGTGAATAGTGCTAAAACAGAGCTGCCAAGTTCCATGCACAAGCCAAAAGGGAGATTTGTTTGGAGCTGAAAAGAGCTTAACTGTAGATTATCAGCACGATGTTTTTGGCCATTAGTACCATGACTTGCACTCATTAATATGAATAACGCAAGGAGGAAGCAAGCTTTAAATTATTAAGACTCAGAAGTGGACTCTGGTCCTAGGCTCCCTCGTTTCTCTTGTGCATATCACTCATTATTAAGTATTTATCATGTTGATAACTCAGTTTCTCCATATGAAAATGTTAACTGGATCAACTGGGGGGAGGGGGATTCAACTGTGTCATTTGATAAGTCAAAAGAGTTGTGTTTTTTAAACACTTTACACTTAAAAGAAATACACATGGTTTTCTTTTATGATATAGATTTTAACTAGCAGAGTAATTTTATAACATTGACATAAAATTTACATGTCTCAAATAAAATATATGAAAACAGAATAATACAAAGTATAAATACAGACAAATTAATATGTTAAAATGTGATAATGACGGGGTATGATTTTCAGTAGTTATCATGTTCTATCCATTTCAGATAAAAGGACAAGATTTAGAGGTGAAGATACAATGTAAGTTAAAATGTTTATTTTTGGGTACAATAAACGTTCATTTGCTTAAGAAAGCAATAATGGGCTGAAGAGATGGTACAGTGTGTAAGGTGCTTGCCTTGCATGTACTGGGCCCACGCCACGTTTAATCCCTGGCACCATATATGGTTACCCAAATTCCCACCAGAAGTAATCCCTGTGCTTACAGTCAGGAGTAAGCTATGAACACAACCAGGTATAGTCAAAACCTTCCGCCCACCCCCGCCTCCCTAAAAGAAAGCAGGTGTTTACTATAAAATTATATTCAATAACTTTTACATACTAGAGTACATGAAATTAATTTTGTGATAAATGAATAAACAATTATGTGAGAAGCAATTTTTCATTTCCTTCAATGCTTGCTTGGTTAATGATTTCGTTTAACTGAGATTTCAACATCTAGAATCTATGTACAAGTTTTGTTTTATATAATGTCGGCACCTTCAATAGAATCTGGCAAGTAAAAAGTGCTCCGCAGATGTTAATTCTGTTATATTCCTAGTTGTCAAAGGCTTAGGAATAATGGCTTGGTTTATGGTATGTTTCTCTTCCAAAAAAGAAAGATTAAAAAAAAAACCCTGCATATGTTTCAATCCTTTGATCATTCCACAAGTAACTTTTACTTCTCAGTGACTACATATCTTTAAATATAAAAAAATTTTTTGAGTTTAAAATAGGCAGGTCTGTGATGATAGGCCATTAAAGGATACAGCTATTCTCTCTCCCTCTTTCTCCCTCTCTTTCATTCTCTCTCTTTTCCTCTCTCCCTCCCTCTGTCCTTCCCTCTCTTCCTCCCCTCCTACCCTTCCTTCCTTCCTTCCTTCCTTCCTTCCTTCCTTCCTTCCTTCCTTCCTTCCTTCCTATCCACAATGCTAAGAGAAAGCCCAAGTAGCTCATATAGAAAGATATACATGGAGAGGGGCTGAAGCGAACACAGCGGGTAGGGCGTTTGCCTTGCACACGGCCGACCTGGGTTCGATTCCCAGCATCCCATATGGTTCCCCGAGCACCATCAGGAGTAATTCCTGAGTGCATGAGCCAGGAGTAACCCCTGTTTATCTCCAGGTGTGACCCAAGAAGGAAAATAAAAAAGATATACATGGAGAAAACACAAGGTCCCCTGCTAACAGTGGGATGTCTGAGTGAGAACCCTGAATAAGTATGACGCTAAACCTTTGCATTCACACTACTTCTAAAATGGTTACATTAAGTCTGGATAGTCATAGATTTGTGAGAAAAATAAAGGTATACTGTTTAATACCATTACAGTCCCGGAAAATTTTATGTAGTCCTAGAAACTAGATCAACAATAGCTCAAAAACATGGCTTATTAAATAAAAATATTTAGTGTTTAAATTAATACCTAAAATAGCAGTTTACATTTCTATAGTAAACTGGCAACTGATTATAATAACAGTGTTGTCATGAGTAACTACAATATTTATTCTTTATGTCCATCTCTTTTTATTTATCTGTTCATTATTCATTCAACTCTCATCCATCCACAGACACTAAATTTTCACCCAACTGATTCATAAGATACACCAGCATATCCTTTGATGAACTGATATCAAGTTAAGAACTATGAGATGACATACTATTTAAGGTGCTTATATTATCACCTATATGTTAGCTACATTGATTTTTATGTTAAGAATTACCTATGAGGGGCTGGAGTGATAGCACAGCGGGTAGGGCATTTGCCTTACATGCGGCCCAACCAAGGTTCGATTCCCAGCATCCCATATGGTCCCCTGAGCATGACTAGGAGTAATTCTTGAGTGCATGAACCAGGAGTAACGCCTGTGCATCGCGGGTGTGATCCCCCCCCAAAAAAAGAATTACCGATGATAAACTATTGCTTTAATTCTTGTTACTTATATTTCCATTCTTGTATTATAGTGTGTGCATGCATAGTACAAGAAATTGAACCTAGGACTTAGACTTTTGAGGTAGATGTTCTATGCATTAAGGTGTATCCCTTGCCCTTACTAATGATTCTATTTGTATGTATAATATCCAGGAAAAAACAGATTTGGTGTGAAAGGACCAAGGTTTCTACTTTAGAATCATAACTTTATGAAAAGTTATTTATACTCATGGTACTTAATTTTTCATGTTTAACAAGAGGAGATCATTATTACTTCACTTGGGTATAAGAAATAAGTAGAATGGTGTACTTGAAGTGAAGTCACATTTAAAATTATGTAAGAGTGATGGAGGAAAATACATGTTCATTTTGCATTCTCCAATAATAATTCAAATTAAAAATTTTACTGATTATACACATACATAATATAACCCTGTCTATTTCAATCAGAAAGATTATAGTTCGCAACCACTTTGAATGGAAAAAATGTGATTACATGTGAAAACACAAAAAGTATAAATAATTTATGTACTCTCAGCTAGAAATTTAGGGTAGTGTGCAGGGACATATATATTTATGGATATTCATTTTTTAATCAGACTTGGCAGTTAAAAACAATATAATCAGTTGTAAAAGAAAACAAACAAAAACAACCCACCAATAAGAAACTAGTGGAAACAACAGAATCTGAATGCTCTTAGATCAAAATAGGTTATCACTTATCACCTGAAAAACTTGTACATTTTATTTAATCTTCAACTTAATTTATTGACTAATTCTAGTAGGTGCAGATTATAAATTTTCTTCTAGGGAAAAGTTTCTTTTCTTTAACAAGACTGACGGCTAGTGAAAATTACAGATTAACAGCAGGAGTCACTGTCCCTGTCACTGTCCTCCCATTGTTCATCAATTTGCTCGAGCGGGCCCAGTAATGTATCCATCGTGAGACTTGCTGTTACTGTGTTTGGCATATTGAATATGTCATGAGTAGCTTACCAGGCTTTGCGGTGCGGGCGAGCTTGCCTGGCTCTCCGAGAGGGGTGGAGGAATTGAACCCGGCTCCACCAGCCTGCTGCACGCAAGGCAAACACCCTACCACTGTGCTATCACTCGAGCCCAACAGCAGAAGTAATATAGTAATATTTAAACTATAACAATATTCAAAATCTAGTAAACTTTAACATACAACCTGTATGTTCAGGAGATGCACCCAGTATAGTTCAACCCCTCCCCCCAAAAAACCAAGCACCACAAAGCTAGCCAAGTAATACTGGGATGCGCACTGAACATCTCCCAAAACATTGTTGGCTACGGCCCTGGATGTCCTGTAGCACTACGGGGGTGGGGGTGCTGGTAGTCCATGGTAGTCCCAAATAGCAATAGCTTGGGCCCTGGCACTTTGGATAATTACTTAAGCATTATAGGGCATGGCCACTTAGCCTCCTGAGTACTGCTTAGAAGTAACTGCCCCAAATATAACAATCATCAAAATTTCATTTATAATTTGAAACTGCATTCATTGGACACTTTCCCTAACATTCTATTTCATTAAAATTATTTTAATAAATTACAATTCACTGTCCAATATATAAAAAACAAAATAGCAATACCAATAGAAGTATTAAGTGTTAGATTTTATATCTTGGGTATGTGAGACCTTGGGTTTGATCCCTGGAACTGCCTGGAGTGTGTCTGGCGGCCCTGCCCTTCCACAGACACTATTGAAGATGACCCCCACACTAAAAGCAACAATTTTTTTTTACCATTTTGCCATTTTGTGAAACCTGAACAAATTTTTAATATACACACATATATTAGGTCACACCCGTCAATGCACAGGGGTTACTCCTGGCTCTGCACACAGGAATTACCCCTGGCGGTGCTCAGGGGACCTTATGGGATGCTGGGAATCTAACCTGGGGCGGCCGTGTGCAAGGCAAACGCCCTACCTGCTGTGCTATCGCTCCAGCCCCTATTAGTAACTTTTTATACTTTAGAATTCAATAAAACTTTTTCTGCTTGATGAATTCTTCTTTGGATTACAATTTTTAATTTTCGGAACCTTCACTTTGTTATTTATACCATTCATGTTGTTTATACCATTGATTCATGTCAAACCAGTTACAAAACAAGACAAATTTATGGGATTACAGATTGAAAGAGGAAATTACACAAAGTCCTATGGGTCTTTAGTTAATCATTTATCTAACTGTATTTTTCATTTAGTTAACATTGAGAGAAAGTAAGAATCGGTGAATTCTCATGCCTCTCTCATGGAATTCATTGAAAGAATGTAACTATATAGTTGAGTGTAGCTACAGATCTTTGAAGATATTATCATATGCATATTAAATATGCATGGATATATTTTTGAAATTATAGTTTTGTCTAAAATACTGCAGGATGGTCATAGCAATACTTACCCACCAGGAGATGGTGCACTTTACAAACACTAGTTGTTTTTTGGCATTTTCTTTGAAAGAAGAAAATAATACCCAATAATCAGTTAGTTTATCTATAAGCCACTCAAACTACATTTAAATGCGAATTTCCTTATGCAATTCACTGGGAGGTTAAACTCAATCTAATATATTTAAATTTCATCAAAATTATTAAATGTTATGCAGATGTTTAGATGAAAATTGGAGTATAGTACATTTATTTATTATGTATACTTTTATATATTTCTTATTTTTATTTATACCTAGTAAGTTTTCACTGACCCCATGTATAATTGCTTATATACTGGTTAAACTTGTTTATAGTTTGAATATAGTTTTAAAGTTTTTATCAGACATTATGATAAACACATTTTGAAAGTAAAGAAAGTTGCAACTTACATGGTAAAAGGCACTTGTTATATAATAAAAGTACTTCTTAGTAACTATGACATGAAGAAAATAACAAATTCTGATAACATAGTTTTTATTGATACCAATGCTAAATCTTTCTCTTCCTCCTCCAAGCCTCTATCCCTTTCTCCCTTCTCTACCAAATATCATTCTTTTTTGGGCACAAAGCAAAATATACCTTCTTCACATTTATGAAATAACTTGTGCAATTTGTGCTTTGGGGGATTCTTGGGAGATGCTCTTTGAATGTAATGGGATGCGCACAGAAAGCTGACATATATTAAAAAACTTTCAAGATTTTAAAACTAGCACATTAGTTTTGAAGTCATATTAATCAGGAGTTTGCTTTCAATCTGAACCAGGTTGCCAAGGAAATGCAATTCAAGACTTTTAAAACAGATCAATGTGAAGAAAAGATGATAACCTCAGTCAAAAAGAACAAAAGTACAAATCTACCATGCTCATCCATGGACTATTTAGACTATTATCTCTAGTAATTGACTGATAAAACAACTGCTGGCGGCTTTAGAGACAAATTTTTCCTTTGGTGAGACAAAGAACAACCTGAAGCTCTCTCCTTTCAGCAGCAGTTATAGCTATGGCATGTACATTTCTCCAAATAGCTATGACTTCTTGACATCAGTTCGTTTTCTTGCCAGTACTTTTGCTTAGTGCCAGCATTCCTTTTAGGCTGCACAGCTATAAATTGCCCAGTGATGGGTCATAAAGAGAGATCCCTGCCATATAGTCTCACTAATGAATTAAAAGACACAAATATCAGACTTCTTACCTTGAACTGACAGACGCAAGTCACAGTGTCTCCAATTCTTAAACATTCCCCATCAAATTTACAGGTGTTGGTATCGCAGAGGAAGAGATCATTCTCTCTGTCATCATAACCTCAAATTTAAAGAGAACATCTCAGTCATTAAAAAAAAATATATGTATTGTGGGCTTGAACTAAAACCCCTACTATCTTGAAGCTTTAACAGAATTGTCTTACATTTTGATTACAACCACAGTTGGACTGAAGTACAATTCTCTACTGGTAACCCAAGAAATCTAGTTAAATAAACTATTTGTTTCTTTTTTACACAATTCATTTTCAGTCGGTTTCCTTTTAGTATTCTTTTAAAATAATTCTGCTTAATTTCACTTGTGATACAATTGGAGGTAGTGAACGAAGTTTTAATATTTGCTTCCTGGCTTCATTTTTTTTTATTAAACTATAGTTTATGATCCCCAAACTCCACATCTCAGAAAAGAACTGGTTATGGTTTCTAAATGCTATTTCACCACTTATTCATCTTTCATCATTCTTTTGCTTTAAGATCTGAGACAATCTCTTCTTTGGAATTTCTCCAGACAAAGAGGAAACAAAGCCCCAATAATAAAGATAAACAGGCACAGTGTCGTCTGTGATAGTCTGTCTGGCTCAAACAAAGATTGATCACTTCTAAGTTAACAGGGTTGGTGGGGGGTGTCAGGTTCTTGACAGCCTGCCTGGAAACCAGTTCATTCTCTTTAGTTTTGGCAGAACCTGTTAAGATATCAGGTTAATAATGAATTTCTTGACTGCCAACCCCAATTTCTCATATAAGTTAGTTATTTTCTTGAACAATACTGTACTATACTGAGGAATGAAGCTGATTAGTTATACTGGGTAATAAAGCTATTAACATTTCAAACAATTAATATTTCACATTGTTTAGTATTCTTATGATAAAACCCTTTAAAAGTGATTAGACAAGAGTAAAGTCAGGTATATTATTTCTCAAGTAACATATATTCAATAAGAAGAAAGTTTATAAAAACATGTTGAATTTTGTTAAAAGGACACATTTAGAAATTACCAAAATGGAACAAAGGCAATTTATTGACCCAACTCTAACACCATTGAAAAAACCATTTTTTCTTTTAAAAAGTACAAGCTCTAGTTATGCAAAAATATTTTTTCATTGATTTACATCAATGACCCAGGGACTACATATTCTTTCATCTTCTGAGTTGCAGCTAGCAAGTCCCTCCTCTTCAAAGTTACATATACTTCATCTCACATATATCTTTAAAAAACATTTTATTCAGAATCACATTTAACTACAGTACAATTATATTTACAGAAGATGAAAATTACATACACATTTGCTAAAACTAGAACAGAACAGACCTAGGGGACAATACCCAGGCATGTTAATGGAGTTTAAAATGCCAATGAAATCACACCACAATCCCGCCTGGTATACTATGGGCTGTCATAGTGAAATGTGAAGCCAGCTGAATGGAGTGCAGCAACTCCCATCCTTAGGCCCTATTTAATTAGAAGGCTTTAGCAGAGCGAAGGCTGCCAAGCTATTTCCTTCAGATTTGAAAGGACCCAATGGAGTGCCTGACCCATTCCAAGGAAGTCAGCCCAGAAATGGAGTCAGGGCCCATGAGGGTCTGTTCTGCCCTGTGTCCCCTGCTTGAAAGATTGGCTGGCCCATGAACACTGAGCCTGGGAAACCCAAGAGTGATTCTTTTCTCAACTTCCCTCCACCAGGTAATAGCTGACGAGGCAAGCGAAGGGCATCTGCACAGCAAAAACAATGTCTTCTCCTGCCAAGGAGAAGAGAGCATGAGAGAGCAAGGGAGAGAGAGAGAGCTGGGGAGCAGGAAGAGACAGACTGATTCTCTGGAAACACAGGCTCCTTTAGTATCCGTGTGAACTGGTCTCAGTGCCAGACCAGTGCACCCTGTAGGTACTCTCGCCAGGAATCAGTGGCCCCCACCCCCATCCCCGCCTCCCCACCCCGCAGTCGTACTGGATTCGTTTCTTTCTAACTCAGTTCTTATAAAGTTATTCCTTGCTCATTAAAGCTAGACTTTTTATTTTTTTAATGATGGGAAATGTTCTTTGTTAGTTTCCTCAAGAAATGGTGTGACTCCCAATGAATAAAACCGTCCTGTTAAATATTTTGTAAAATATTTGTAGCTCCAATTTAAGTGCAAAAGCTCCGACGCCTGCACTTTCCAACCACCCCAGACCTTTCCCCCTCGGGGACTAGAATCAGTTCTCTGGGTTTGTCTAGATGGAATTCTGAGGTTATCAGGGGTTTGGGGCAGAGGCAGTCAAAGGGTTAGAGAGACGCGCTAGAGTAGCCCGCTCTGTGCTGGAAAAGCGCATTTTCCTCTGCGAGGGGAAAGGATCAGATGCTGGGGTTGTGGCTTACCAGAGCAGTTCCAGCCGGTGGGGGTTTGGCAGTCACTTAAGGAGGTAGGGAAAGCCGCGAGCTTCACCGGGCGGGCTACGATGAGTAGCATCACCGGCAGCAGCAGCAGCCAGCAAAAGCCCTCGCAAAGTGTCCAGCTGCTGCACTGCCGCGGGGACTCCCACAGCACCATGACTAGTTCGCGCAACTCTGCAGTAGTAAACGGCTTCCGAAGAACACAGGATCGCGGGGGGCAGGCAGTGGGCTACTGAGCATCCCTTGGACGGCGGCAGCAAAGGCGGCGGCGCTGGCAGTGGCACCCGAGAGGGAAGCAGTAAGCAAACCCGCGCATGATCTCCAGAGTTTCAGTAACATCCAGTGACCCGGCTCAGCCCCAGGAGCAAGAGGGTCTCTCGCCGAGAAGCTGCGCCGGAGTCGCGGAAAGCTTCAGCCATAGGAAGAAGAGGGGCTCTGGGAAGCCCGGGAAGTAGGAGGAAATCAGAGTCCAGGGAGAGAGGCAAGAGACGTAGGGAGGCAAGGTGGAAGAAGTCAAAGCGCTCTGCAGCCCAGCAGCCGCCTCTCGCGCTCTGCCGCCCGCATCCCACTGCGTTTAGGAAGCAGCAGGTCCTTAGCCCGCCCGGGGTCACGTGGGAAGACGAAGCCAGGCGCTGATTGGCCGAGCGGGATGCAGGTCCCGGGAGGGAGGGGTTGGCGAGGAGGTGCAAGGAGGAGGCGACGGCGGATGCCACAGATGGACAAGCCCTCCAGGCGCTGGCTCGAGTGGGGTTAGTGGTATGACTCAAGTGAGAAGCGCGAGCTTCAGAGGCGACGGCCCCCACACCGTTAGAGACCACCTGCCCTTTCGCCAGCCTCCCTGGGACGCCCCCTAGCGAGCACTGGGTCCGCTCGAGCGCCCCTCTGCGGCGTGTGACTCCGGGCTGCTAGAGCCCGCCGCGGCTGGGTGGCGTCTCTTGGAACCCAAAGCTGGGGAGGGCGGAGGTGGGGCGGGTGCGGGTTGAGCGTCCGCAGGGCCGAGATGGGAGAGCGGGCGTCCAGCGCTCCGGTGGTCCGCGCGACAATGGGACACAAAGTGGGGAGATCGCCGCGGGGAGACCGAGGACACGTCTCTAGGGAGGAGCGGGGAGCCAGAGAGGGTGAGAAGCGGTGTCGGAAGAACAGCGGAGGCTGGCCCAGAAGCGGCAGCACTCCCCGCAGGAGCCTGCCACTCTGCGTCAGCTCGTCTAGGTGGCACAGCCAGTCAGGCCGGCTCTCCGGTCTCCTTTTCTCCGCATTTCCCCTCTCCGGCCCCCAGCAGTTCAGACCCAGCCCGAGGAGCCTTGGTTGGAATCTCTCCGGCGATCACACACTCTTTCCCGGCCCAGAACCTTTTTGTACGGCTGCGTGGGAAAGATGGGCAAAGGTCTTTAGTAGGGCAGATTTGATCGGGACCAGGGGTCAGAGCGACCCAGGCAAGGCTCCTCTGCGGCTGCACCGGCTGGGTGCAGGGAGCGCCCGCCCGGGAGCAGAGTCCCAGCACTTTGGCGGCTCGGGGACAGGCCCCGGGCTTCTTTTCAGGGTCTCTGAGGGGCTTCCAGTGCGACAGGAAAAGAGAGGTCTAACTCAGCGGGAGTCCTACCCCGCACCTTTCTTTCTCAGATCCGGCCGGCGCTGCGCTGACAGCCGTGCGGGATCCGCCTTCCGCCTGCTGCATTCTTTATGCAGTTACACACTGGCTTTAGAATGGTCCGACTCTAGTCCCCGAGATCGACCCGAGAACTGCTCGGACTCGGATGGACAAGAGCATCTTTCTCCCGTGACCTAGGTCATTATTGCAGTCACAGTTATTTTATTTTATTAGGCTGCCTTACAAGGAAGACTTTTCCTCTCCGTGTGATTGTTTAGTGAATCGGGGTTGGCTTTTTCCTTTTTTCTTGCCTCCTCTCCCCGCACCCTCTTCTATGTTCCCTCTCCCCCACCCCCTTTTCTCTCTCACTCTCCCGCATCTCCTCCCCCAATCCTCCCTCTCCCCAGTAAATCTCGCTTTTTCTCTCACTCTAGTGTCCCTGAATTTAGGAGTGCGTTGTTCGATCGCATCTCTCAGGCAATTAGCGTCCATCTCCAATCACTTAAAAGAACCACCAAAACACTTTGAAAACAGGGACTATCTAGTCTTTGCAGGCGCCACCAGAAAAAACAAATTGTGCTTCGCTATCCTTTTAAGTACTTTGACCTCCAACCTCCTCCCACTTCCTTGCGTTTTAACTTCTCCTTGGAGAGATGCGATCGTGCTGCACCTCAGTACCTCAAAGACATTTTTTTCTTCCCCGTGTGAAACCCGTTCCTTTATCTTACATCTCCGCCTCCGCCTTACCACCCCCACTCCACCCCACCTGCAAAGATTTTTTTGTATCTCAGTGTCTCTCACTCTTGGCAATTAAGCAGCCGATTCCAGCATTCACTCAGTGGCAGCTCGCTCCTTACCGATGAAGACTCCATTAAAATAGATCAATTTGGCCAGACGTTGGAGGCATCAGAAAATCGGTTTGTAGACAGCGCAGCTGAATTTTTGAAGGAAACTGGATGCCCATTAGATAGTTAGCTGCCAGCAGATACTGATACTGCAGAATGGGGAGTGGGAGATATCTTTCCTTCCACCCTTTTCAGGAGAGACAGCAACATAAATGTGCGTCTAATACAAATGAAGATCTAATACAAATGAACTCCCCCATCAGACTAAAAATATGTCATCTTCTATAGTAAAACTGGTGTGGTAACTAATCAGGCTTATGAAGTCATGCTTGAAACTAAAGGCAAAGTCCTTAAAAGTGTTTACGTAGTAATTATGATAATGAAACGGGATCTGCTAGGACTCTAGTACTTGGCTATTTAAGTACAATTTTACAGAACCTCTTAGCAGAGTAAAACTGTTATTGAATTCCCTGCTAAGTAAATTTTTGGCATGCTTTCTAATAATATGTACTCTTCCTAAGACATTTTGCCCAAAGTAACTTAAAGCTCCAAAGGAGTTAATTACTGGTTGTGACTGGTTAACGAATGCAGTTGCCTCCACAGAGGTTCTTTAAATTATTAAACAGTTTGAAGCAAAGCCTTTCCAATAGGAATGCTGTGATTTTATACAGCTTACTCCTTTCTTAGTGTTACAGTGCCACCAAGAAACAAATTCTAAAACTGGCAAGCACCACCAAGTGGCAGAAGAACATCATTCACTGAGCAGAGCATAGTATTACTGAGCACGTAAATAAAAATATGTACATCATTTAGCCTCATCATTAGTACCAAGGAAGTAGACAGGCATTCAATTTTATGACAATGGAGATTAAATCAGTGATTGGATTAGTGCTACAACTTTTTTTTCTTTTGAGCAGGGTCAAATCTGTTTATTTATTGGTACCGAAATTAAAATTAGGTCTTTGAATTGCTCTTTGTATTATATATTATATGACTACTAGTAATTCAAACCAATTATACATTTGCAATCTTTCCAACATGCCTAATATTTGCTTCAACAATTCTTGTGTTAAAATAATGTATTTATGGCCTACACACTCCAGAATTGACTCAGAGGAAGGGAGGTAAAGTCAAGCTGTCATAGATTTAGTTAGAAATAGCACAGAAAAAAAAATCCAGAAAACATTTTTTAAGCTTTGTTTTTCCTACTTGGAAAGGACATCATTAAGAACTGTGAGATTAGTCAGAAGTTTAGTGGGGGTGGGGGAAAGGAAAAGAAATTATTCTAGAAAAAGAATTACTAAGGAAAAATAAATTAATATGAGAAAATATTCCAATCAGAACTCTATGGCATCTCTGATCTCTGATAGTTTTGTTGCTTCTGTCATGATAAGTTGGATAGTTTGCTTTTTAGGTGTCAGATATTATAATGTGAAGAAAGATACCATTTTATTTAATTTTCATAACACCAATATGTGGAAAGAAGTGTTGTTTTGTTTTAGTTTGGGGCTACATGCGGTGGTGCTCATCCTGGTGGGATTTGGGGGTACTCTATGCCATGCAAGGGAATAAAACTGGGTAGGCTGCATGCAAAGCGAATACTTTGCTTTCTGTACTATTTCTGCATCCTAATGTTTTAATTTTTAATTTAAGCACATGATGTATGATGCTATTAATATTAATGTTCAGGAACACAATGTTGTATTGTTGAACACAGCACACCACACCTACCAGCAGAGTGTCAGATTCTCCTCAACTCTATATTTAGGTCTCCTCTCATTCTCTAGCCCCTTACAGTTGAGTAGTATTGCATTATACTCACAGTTGCTTTATCCACTTCTGTATTCTTGGACATTAAGGTTGTTTCTACGTCTTGACTTTGTAAATAGCATGGCAATGAGCATAGAGGTGCTGAAATCTTTTTTGAACTAATGTTTTAGGATTCTTGAGGCAAATGCCAAGAAATGGAATCCTGGGACACATAGAACCTTTTAAAGCTTTAAGCAAGTTGTTCCACTTAACTAGTTTAGTCAGTAATACAGCTGGATTTGACAAATTCAAAACCTAAATCATTTTTATGGTGACTTCTGAGCATCTGAGAATGGAAACTGTAATTGGAAACATATTCTCCTAATCTATGCACCCTCTTTGCCCTTATTTTTTTAAATGAAGTGTCAATAAGATCCCCTATTAATTAATCTCAACTTTAAGATACAAGATACAGTGAGTCCATACTGAGGAGTCGTATGAATTAATTTCTGTGAATTGTTTTTAAGATGCTTTACATATTAAAAAGCTTTTTGAAAAAATGATACATTATACATTTCATCAGCAGGAAATATAATTTAAAAGTCAGTGGTTAGTCACCCAAGCAACAGTACAGTGGGTTGGGTACTTGCCTTGCAAGTGACTAACCAGGGTTAGATCCCCATAAGTTCCCCTGAGCACTTCAGTAGTAATTTCTGAACACCCACCCTGTGGCCCAAAACCTAAAATAAAACAAAAACAAAAAAAGTCAGGAGTTAGACTGTCAAATCTACATTTTAATATAAATACTAAATAGAACTTGTGTGAGAACTAAGGTGCTCTCTATACTTATAGAGCAATTAAGATTTTTTAAGTAATTTACCACAGCTCTTAGAGGTTTCTAAGACAAAATAAAGGTTCATACTCAGTATACAATAGACTATTGTATGCACATGTCTACATCCCATTAAGTATTCAAGTCACCAAATAT